AAAAAGATGCCTTCCACATAGGTAACAGTTGGTTCACTTTTTGAGTCCTTATATACAGTCCTCACATTTGAGGATTTCTTTGAGGTATCGGGTGAGTCACTATATATTGAGATACTTTGGCGACTTCTATTCTGACCCATTGGAAGCCTTTTGTCCCTATATTTAGATACTATACGTACGATTGTAGGGACTCCATTTAGAGTTTCCATTGGAATGCTCTTAACCACCTATAATTAGTGTCGACTTTATTACAAAAGGCTTAGGTGATATTAGGGGCGAAATTTGTTGTGTGCTAGTTGTATATATTATTTTTTGTCATTTATCTGATATAGGATCATATTCTCCAACACCATGAAGATAAGAAAATCAAAATACTTCTTGGTATATAATATGAAAATGGCGTTGTTTAGCTCTGAAAAAATAGAACTACAGGCTAAAATTTCTAGAAACAATTTTCACCATCACAAACTAAGAGGATAGTTGCTTAGAAAATAACCTCCGCAAAAAATGTGACTTCATGGTATAGAATCAAAATGTCATACTAAGAAGCGTATATCCTTAATAATAGTACGCACTTTTTACGGGACTGAGAATCAACCAAGGATCGCATCAGCGACAAGTTTAGAATCTCCTTTCACTTGAACATGAGATATGCTTGATGCTTCGTAGGATTGCAAAATTGAGAGCATCTCGAAGACTAACAGCTTCTAATGGGAGTTGTGTGGTAGAGCCAAGTGTTGAGGTCCAAAATTTTGTACAATTTTTAAGTAATGCTAATGTCGTACCAAATAATGAAATATCTCTCGAACCGTGTTTTTCATATTTCTTTAAACTCGACACTAAGCTTACAAGCATTAAACTGCTTGTTTATTTTAGATGGATCCATAGCAATCCCGATATTTACAGGTACGTTTTCTACCATGCACCATAGCTAGAATCTTTCATTTGTCCCCATCGACAGGAAGGTTTGGCACCTCGGTGTCGGCTCTTCGCCACCTGAAGGAACAAGTAAAAGTTATGTCTACAAGTGGGCCGGGATAGCATTTCTCGTCATTGATAGGGCTCCACATGCATAGCATCTAAATACCCGGTACATGGTACGCTGTGGGTGGGCTCTACTCTCTACTTCTCCAGTCTCTAGTGCAGTGCAGGACCTGCGTCTTTATATATGTAAATAATATATACACACACAGGGAGTCCCGATGAAAACCTTGTTGTGCTAACTTCATAAATTTCTTTAACGAGCCGAACTGTTTAAATTTCAATCCATCATTGATAGAGCCTCATTGCAAAAAATTAGAGAAATTCAAAACCATTTAATCCAACTATCATATGGTTTCGATTTAAGTAAGCCTTAAAAAAAAGAAATTGTTATTGACACTCTAAAAATTTCATTTTGCACTCCAAACTTTCTATAATTAGAAAGAAAAACACACTAGTAAAGAGTGTAAAATGAGATTTTTAAAGTACTAATAACAATTCTCTAAGAAAAACCTAAAAAGCAGACGATCGGATTGATAAAATACATTGTAGAGTAAGTTGTACAACATATCCGTCACATAATTTGATTTCAGAAACATCAATTTCTGAGGCCCCTTTAATTTCGAGTTTTACCAGTATTAGAAGAGCATCTTCAATAGTATGCAGTTTGGCGTGTGTGACAATACCAAAATGTAATAATAATGTCTCCCTCAAATCATTCAAGGATGTCCTACTTCAAGTGTTAAAATTGATCAGTCTCACAAGTCGTGCCAAATATTTGACAACGAATTACTTCGTCAAAATTATGTCCTTGGATTTGTCGAACTTACAGTAGAGTATTGAGTTATGATTAAGATAAGTTTAGAGTTTAATTTTCGTAATTGAAACAAAAAATTGAACACAAGAACTCCCATATGAATACATGGTCTAAACATGTCTAGTTAGAATGGTAATGCCGCTTAATGGTGGTTGTCAAATCGCTTTCACCCTTTTCAAGAAAATGCATATGACAACCAAAAATATGAATCGATGAGTTAAGGGTGTTCGAAAGGAAGGGGTCTAATGGCAAGTATAATGAGCCATCATGGGCAATCCCAACAAAAGCCAAATAAACGAATTTAGTGACGTGAACTTGTAACTAAGCAGGACATGAGATGTAACATCCGCATCGCATGAAGAGACTAAGGCAAACTCTAAGGATTGAACGAACACTGAAAAGGCCCAAATGGCTAATTCATAAGTGGACGAACACTCGAAAGCAAGATCAAAACAAAACACCATTGAGGATCAAGAGGCGACTTGGCCGACAGTTCTACGGTACGAGCGGATCACTTAAAATACACGGAGCGACGTGAGCAAAGATGTCGTATTAACAATGTTATATTGATGTATTAGTATTAAATATCGATACGTATCAACATATCTCTCATGTATCGGTGTCATATTAACAAAATCCAACCCAAAACTTACTTCCTTTGGTTTCAGGACTCTTGAAACCCTCCGTGTCCTCTGGCATTCTGCATCTTCCATTTTTCTCAGGTACCAACACACAACCTCAACAGGAAAAATGAAAGAATCCTCGTTGAGTCGATCTCTGATATCGGTCTCTGATGCCATACGAGTTCCATCATGGTTGTGGCAACGACAGGAGTGTTTTTGCTTCGGGGACCAAGCACCGTCAGCAGCGCTTTTGCTTATGCAACATGATCGTTCTCGCATCTGAAACAGATGATGTTTGGGTCCGATCAAATGGTCATCGTCTCCTTCCCTCACACAAATCCCCTCAATTGCACAATTTTCGCAAGCCTAACGGACTCACGAGCAATGGCCATTTTGATGACATGGACTAGGCTGTGAAGTGAAGGGCGAACGACAGAACCAGAACCAAACCATACCAGAATCCACCATTGTTGCCAGAAGTCTAATGGTAAATTGGAACCAAGCTTACGCAAAGTCCATAAAATAAACAAGGTTATAACACTAAGATTCAACATTCCATCTTTCCGGTGTTTACTACGACAAGTTAAGGAGAAGACTGAGATATACGTAAGCAATTCTAGATCAAGGTTGGAAACCCTGTGTGCACAGACGGTGTAAACTGGGAGCATTACCGAAAAAACAGATGAAAAGAAAACCCAGAATGGGACTTCTCTAACATAATAAAATTTAACTTTAGACGATTCTCATAACACCATGAAGGTCACTTCTAAGATAAGATAACCTCATATATTGGAAGTATCCTCGTACTAATTGAAAAAAAAATACATCCTCATAGAAAACCAGAGTATTTCAATGAAAGCAAGCCTACAAACCCAATTGTACTTTCAAAAATGGGGGCGATATCCAGCGTTCCTCAATGATCACCAGGTAGAGTCTTTATGATATCCGAATCACCTGAAAATTATTATAACATGTGACAAGTCAGCCAAATTGGTTATCATATCAGTAGTTTGTGCAACAAATCGTGCAGAATGGTAATACTACTTTTGAGTACCTGCATCGATGATGCTAAGGCAGGAAACACGGAAATACTTGCCGCAGGCTGTACCGAGCTCAACATTGTCTGAAAACAGAACAAGTATGACCAACCAAATGAAAAGGTAATAGTATTGCAAACTCAATTATATACTAGTTGACAAACTTTACCAAACGAAAATGAATAGAGCAAGTATAATCAACTTTATTATTTCAAATTCTTTCCACCATCAAAGAGATACAACACGGCAGAAAGAAAATATAACAAAACAACACGGAAAATGTCTCGCATTACTCCTACTTGTGAACAAAATGGAGATATATGCGTGTAACACGACGGGCAAATACAACATTAGTTCTCCATGTTGAAGCAAGAAATGGATTAAATACAGTGAATTATCCAACACAAGCCACCAAACGAGGCGAGATAAACTCTCTAGTTTAACTAAACCACTTTTTTTACGTGAATTTGTAAATTGTCGTAGATGATGCTAAGAAAACGACCCAACAAGGTATTGATAAATTCCACAACATCCAAGCCCATAACATTCATAAACAATAACATTAGTTCTGTTTCATCGATGTATCAGGCGAAAAGCAAAGTATACAACAAAGACACCAACCAAACATCCATGCCAATTCTACAAACTTGTAACATCATAAGTTCACGAAAAAATCTACCTAAAGCAAGCAAACCCAGATTAATTATACAGAGAACCACTTACTTCCGTTGTAATGGTGAACCCCAATCTTCGCAAGCATGGCGTAGTATTCAATTTCCGACTTCCGAAGAGGCGGGCAATTGTTGGAGATAATGATCAACTTGCCTGCAAATACAATTTCCACAACAACACAATCAAATCCCAATTACAAAAACTTGAAACGAACCCAGTACTTAGAATTCAAAAACCAAAGAATCAAAACGAGGAAGAAATCGGGTGCCTTTGGAGCTGCGGAGGGAATCGATGACGGTTTTGTAACCAAGAGTGTATTTGCCGCTCTTCATGACGAGAGCGAGCCTGGTGTTGATGCTCTCATGGGTCTTCTTCGTCTTCTTTGGCGCCACCATTGTCGATTGCAACCTCTCCCTCTCCTCCCTCTCTCTCTCTAGCTGCGCGGAGGCCGACACCCAGAAGAACCGCGCGGAGGCCGACACCCAGAAGAACCGCGCGAAGGTTTCAGAAGGAGGCGGATGGTCCGTTCAGGGTGTTTAAGTATTAAATAGCAGGGATGATGAAGGTATCGCACGTGCAGATCACGTGACTTTATTAGGGTTTTTTTTACTTGCTTTTCGGTTTGGGCCGGCCCATATTCTAATGATGATACTAAAGCCCACAAACGGCAAGCTATGTTTTGTCGTTTAAAGGTTTGCAACTTCTGCAACTCTCTGCGTGCTTCTTCCTTCAGTTCAGCCGAACAGAGCTTTACAGGTATGCTTATTTATATATGTGTGTATATATATATTGGGCTAATTTCAAAATTTTGAAGGAGTTTAATTTGGTTTGAAATTTGGGAAGTGGATTTTGCAGAAGTTGTTAAATTTGAAATTTCTAGGGTTTTTTTTTTTTAATTCTTCCATGTCCTTTTTTTTCTTGAAATTTCACGAGGGTTAGGATTCTTTTGTGTTTTATTAGGATTATTCCTGTTTCTATTTGTTTTAGGGTTTCAATTTTCCATTAGGGTTAAGTGTTTATGTATACCATTGTAATTCAATTGTTAAGATAGTTGATAAGTTGAAGTTTCCGAGTTTATAATCTTGCAATCGTAGTAGTTTTGGGTGAAACCAAGAACGAGCGTGAGGCCCCTGGAGCGATTCCAGTTTATCTTGTTCATTGGTTAGTTTTTCCAGTAGTGTTAATCTGCAACGGGCAGGTCTTCGGCTTTGTGATGCAAGTGTCGATAAGTTTCTTCTGATGTTTCTTTTTCTCCTCGACAGGATCATAGCAATGAGCAAACGGAAACAGCCAGACTCTAGTTCCCCGGCGGACTCTTTGAGCCAGAACGAGCGAATTCTATACAATGTGATCCATGGCAAGCAAGATATGGGGATTTGGACACGAGACATGAAGAAAGAGACAAACCTCCCTGACAAGGTGTTTAACGCAGCCTTAAAAACACTTCAAGCAAAGAAACTGATACAAGAGGTTGTAAATGTCCAAAGCAAGGGGAGAAAGCATTACATTGCTACAGAATTTGAGCCCTCCAAGGAGTTAACCGGTGGGGCTTGGTACTCGGAGGGGAAACTCGACAAAGATTATATAAACCTTGTAAAAGATCAGTTTGCGAAGATGATATATCAGCAGAAGGTTGCGACGTTGGAGGGAATTGCAGACGCAATCAGAAAGACTAAAATATTCAAGACCGAGTTTACAAAACAGCAAACGGAGGAGATTGTGAGGGATTTGGTTTTGGACAATCGAGTCATGGAGGTGAAGAGCACCGGGATGGGGGAGTTTGCTTCGATTCAAATTGGAAAAGTTTGCTATAAATGCAAAAGCAAGGGAGGTACTAGAGGAGAAACCAAAGTTGGCGCAATGGCTTCTATTCCATGTGGAGTTTGTCCGCGGATAAGTCAATGTACACCGGATGGGATTATTTCCCCATCAACCTGTGTCTACTTCGCCAAATGGTTGGACTTCTGAACTGATTGTTGACCTAGACAATTGTTAGGTTCAAATGAAGTTGGATTCTAATCGAAGTAATATCTTTTTCGCTCAACTTATACCTTCCTGCTGTATTTTTCCAGGTTCTCTTCCTCCCTGCCTAAATATAACTTGTAGCAAATCTTTTGGTTGTTTGATTACTTGTGGTAATGCTACATTGGGTTGTCAAATTTCTGAAAGCAATTCATGTTTTACTACCACTACTTACGTTTCAGCAGTTGAGCTATATTACCAAAGTCGATCGATATGAATAATACAGTTTTCTCAAAATCTTCTGCAGGAATAAGAGTTCTCAAAATCGATCAATATCTTAATCGTGTGTAGGGGTGAACGAGGTCCGGGTATGTTAAGTTTTAGTGTAACCGTAACCAAACCAAGTTACAACAAAACCAAAGCGTTTGATTCAGTTCGATTCACATCGTTTTCATATATTGCAGTCGTATAGCTAGAAATCCTATGTAGATTTAAAGGGTTGAGCGAAAGTAGAAACAACCGGTTTGTACAAAGAGAAAAACAGAAAGGAAAGAGAGAACGAGAAAAGAACATTAATAAAACCGGACTTCTTATTAGTTTAGTGTAAGAAGAGTTTGGTGAACAAAATGGCGCCATTGAGCATTTCGTTGAACACCTTGTAGGCACGAACAACTAAAACCCAGACAACCACAGGGTCATTGAAAGCGCTCTCCAGCCAGATTTCTGGCTCCACAGGGTCAAATGGCCCGGTTTGACCCATTGTGGATCAGCCCCTGCTTGCACGCGACTACTTTTCAAGGTTATTCAGACATTTTAACTCCCCACTACACTTCAAGATTGTTTCGGAGTTCGGACGTTTCAACTCTTTTTTTTATTGATATGATTGACCACGTTGAATTATCAAATATTAAAATTTGCTAAACTTCGTGTTAGTACTTCACCATAAGCTTTTAAAACGAACGCAACATGTTTTTTTAGTAGCCAAAATTCTCAAGTTCGTACCATAGAGAACTTGTGAAACAAAGGTCAAAAGTCTGAAACCAACTTATTCTCTCATTCCTTAATGTAATATATGTTTGTATAAAAAATAAAAAATAAACATATGAAAAAGAGGTAAAAAGTCCAAAATAACCTTGAACACAACTTATTTGGATGGAAAACATAACGAAGTTAAGGTGAGCTGACGATAATTTTGAAATCTTGGGCTAAGCTTAAGTCTACTTACAACGTGATAGATCATACGGGTAGAAATCCTGGGTATTCATGAAAAATCATACAGGTAGAAATCCTAGGTGTTCATGAAAAATGACGTATCCTGAGTAAACATAAAGGTAGAAATCCTGGGTATTCATGAAAAATGACCTATATATTGTGAGAAGGGGTGTTGGGAAATATAAAGAAAATTATTTTAGAGATTTAATTTGATTTGATTTGATTTGATCTAGGTTTTCTGTGGACAAAGATTTGATTTGATTTATTTCCTAGTATTGCTCTATCTTATAAATACTAATTATGAAAAAGTATTTGAGTTTGTGAGATTATTAAATTGAATTTGAGAAGGAATTCTTAATTAATCCTAAACTCAATATTTTCAACTGAATATATATAGAGGACCCATAGTACCACAACAACTCGCGTGTTTCATCAGTGTTAAAAAACTCAGCGTATTCGTCCGAGAAGCTCGTCGTCTTCACCACGAACGAAGAAGCACTCAGGTATGGAACGAAAAATTTACTCCTAATCTCTATTCAATTTTCATATCAGTAGCCTAAGTACTTCTTCAAATTTTCTGCACATCTAGGTTTCTATTGATTCGAGGGTTTAGGGTTTCTATCTATTTGACTACATATTCAAAGTACGTAGTAAAGGGTTTGGCGTTTAGGTTGGGGTGTGCTACGCACACATCCTTTTAACTTTCGGCCGTTGGATCGAATTAATTGAAGAATATTAAGGTACAAAAAGGTGCTTGAGAAATAAAGAGGTATGTAGGGTTTCTTGAATTGCAAACCAACGAATGAAGGGGAACCAACCAAGTACCATGAAACATCTGCTATATTTTAATCACTTGATAAATATAATAGGGTTTTATAAGTTATCCACATCTCTATCAATTTCTCAATCGGTTTTCTTCATGTATAAATATGTGTGTATACATATTTATATGTGTGTGTGCATGTGTATTGTATGTATGATGTATAAAAGCCTAGTTATTAAAGGATACATGGCAATACGGCCATGAGTGTGTTTTAGGGTTTGATCAATTTATATCTAAATCTCTCCAATTACTTGCAGCTGGTGTCTCCTCCTCCCATAAGTTAACGATCGATATGGATCCCAAAGAGTATTCCACCAGCAACCTAACCGATGTCGCACTCAAAATCACCAAGCATCTTCTCATGACTGAAGGCAAAGGGAAGAACATTGTGTACTCGCCGTTGTCCATCCAGGTCGTGTTGTTCTTGATAACAGCCGGTTCAAAGGGTCTCACTAAGGACCAGTAGCTCTCTTTCCTCAAGTCCGAGTCCTCCGACCAACTCAACTCCCTCGCCGCCCATCTTGTAACTTTGGTCTTAGCAGACGGATCCGCTAGAGGCGGCCCTTGTCTCAACTTTGCCAATGCCCTCTGGGTTGAGGAGTCTCTCTCTATCAAACCATCTTTCAGGGAGGTTGTGGACACTGTTTACAAGGCAGCGATTAAACAAGTCAGTATCAAGACTGACCCTGACAAAGCGAGAGTTGAAGTGAATTCATGGGTTGAAAAGGAGACGAACGGCCTTATCACTGAGGTTCTTCTTCCTGGGACGGTTAAAAGAGACTCCAAGCTTATAATTGCAAATGCCTTGTACTTCAAAGGAGTTTGGAACGACCAGTTTGATGCATCAATGACATTCAAGCATAACTTTTACCTTCTCAATGGTACTAAAGTCCGGGCACCGTTCATGTGCAGAAGCTACGAGGACCAGTATGTAAGAGCCTTTGACAGCTTCAAGGTCGCAAAGCTTGAGTATGAACCAGGAAAAGACAAGGAGCGGCAGTTTTCGATGTACTTTTTACTTCCTAATGAAAGAGATGGGCTCCCAGCTTTGGTCGACAGAGTTTGCTCCGAGCCTGGTTTCTTAGATCGCTATCTCCCCAAAACAAGAGTCGAAGTTGGTGCCTTCAAAATCCCAAGGTTTAAGTTTACCTCTGGCTTTAAAGCTTCCAAAATTCTGGAGGATTTAGGACTGGTTCTGCCTTTCAATGGGAATGGTGATTTGAGTGAGATGGTGGAGTCACCTCTTCGCAAGGCCAATATAATTCATAAATCCTTCATTGAGGTTGATGAAGAAGGCACAAAAGCTGCAGCTGTTTCTGTTTTTGCCGAGTTGCGTTGTTGTGGTGAGTCATTTAAACCGATTAAACGGATACACTTTGTGGCTGATCACCCATTCCTGTTCTTGATCAGTGAGGAAATTACTGGAACGGTTCAGTTCATTGGTCACGTGCTCAATCCGCTCAAAGAATGATTTTATCATGGATCGAGGGACAGAAACGGTCTGTTCTTAGTTCTCTTGGTATATAACTCTTTATTTTTATGTGATGACTTTTATTTCTTTTTAATCTTTTAAGATATTGGTTTTGATAGCCAATTGGATGCGCGTGATGATGGATTGTTCTCAGATTAGTACTATGTTTACTTTTTATTTGTTGTCAACTTTTGAAAATATTGTTTCTCATGTCTATTAAGAAAGTATGAACCCAAAGTCTTACATTCATGTCTTAATCTTGCATACTTATGTTGCCAAAACTTTGGTGGAGAGATAGTTGCATTATTTCCCCGTCGATCTGTGTCCACTTTACGAAATGGTTGGATTTCTGAACCGATTGTACAGGGGAGACCCAAGCCAATAAGGTTAATCGCTTTGTGAGGGTTGGAAAATGTCTATCGTATACAACTTTATTCTTGCTTTAAAAAGTAGTTTCTACGACTCAAACCCATGACATTTTGGTCACAAAAGGAACAACCTTAGATACGTTATTTACACATAGTGGAATATGTGCACTTTCGTCGTTAGGGATGCAAGTATTATTCCCTAGAAAATTAAATTCAAATTCAACTTAGAATTATCAAAGGAATATGATTCTCTCCCCTCTAGATTTCACTCTCTCTCCTATTTGAGCGGTTACAGTTGAGCCGCGTCGATATCTTGTGATGACTTTTTATATATATATATATATATATATATAGAGAGAGAGAGAGAGAGAGAGAGAGAGAGAGAGAGAGAGAGAGAAGAAAATGAGGGAGGAGGGCAGAGAAGGGGAAGGGAATTAAGGGAGGGAGAATTGTACTCCAATATCAAAAAGGTGTTAAGGGGGGACCCCAAAAAGGACCAGGCAAGCCAACCAGCATCTAAAATTATAAAAATTTCTAATGGAGCATCGATATCTGATAACCCTCGTCAGAATCCCTGTTCTTTTTCTCAGCAGCACTGCTACCTTTTCCTTTTCTCAATTACTCTTTCTTTTCTGTTTACTAATTCTTCTTTTGACGTCTCCCCACAGCCGCATTATTTGCTGGCATCTCCAAAAGCACTTCCAGTTTTCCTCCGGCCAACTCTCACCTACATACACCTTCAATCCTCCATCAACTTCATCATCGTCAAACAATAAAACCCTACACTTTGCAGGGTACCAGATTTCTTGGTTAAATGGTGAACTTTGATTATGATGAGCTTGTGAACACAACAGGAAGCTTCTCTCCGACTCGGATGGTCGGCAAAGGCAGCCATGGAATGGTCTACAAGGCCATGCTACTCAACAAAACTGTTGCCCTAAAGAAGCCATTGCAACATCGTGACAACTACTCCAAGCTAGAAAACGAAATATGCGTGTTATCGTCTTTACCCGAGAACCGGCATGTTATAAGCCTTCTTGGAACAAGCCAAGATCACTCGAACGGCAACAACAAGCTCATTGTCATGGAGTTCATGCCCAATGGCTCTCTCCATGACCTACTTCATGTTGCAGCTACACCGCCTTCGTGGCCTAAACGTGTAGAAATCGCCATCCAAGTCGCCCGGGCGGTCCAATTTCTTCACGAAGGGAAGCCTACGGTAATCCACAGGGACATCAAGTCTGAAAATATTTTGTTCGATTCAGATTGGAATGCCAAGTTGGCGGATTTTGGACTTGCCGTGCTCTTTGATTCGCCGAGTCAGGTGAGTCAACCCGCTGCAGGAACTATTGGATA